GTGTATTATATTTTTAACCATCACTCCACAACCAGTTCCTCTAAATAAATATGCATGTGTACGTGCGTCTGTGTATTATGCCCGTGTATGTGTGTTTTTATGTTCGTTTACGTACGTATGTGTATGTGTGAATTCACGCCCACTTTTAAAAATGTACTCATGAAAGAACTTACGAAATATCAACTATAGTCATATTTGTCACACCTACCGATATGCTGAATAACATTTGCATATATATATATATATATATATATATATATATATATATATATATATATATATATATCTAAAGCTGTTAATACCGTGTGCGTTTGTCCATGACTTTACGAGAATGTCTAAAGGGATTGGTCATATATCTCTGTAGGTCATCACTAATGTATGACTTGAGTCGACAGTGTATTATCAAAAATATATTTGATATGTTCAGACTTCAGTGATTGTTGAGTCCACACAACATTTCGTGCCTACTATCACGGGTTGGCTATGATTGTTTGGCGAGAATTACTATCACAGTCAGCCTTGATTGCACGTCAGTGATAAGGTCTATGTTAATATGGAATAGAATGCAGGGAAATTGGTTTCATGCATTTCTAAAGGGCACTGGACGTAAATTGACCACAAGAAGTTTCAATCAAAATTCAAACATCCAATGGCGAAATCACTTCGCTAACAAAACTTAATGAGACATTAATATACTATCAGTTTCTTGTATAATAAGATACTTATTCGAGTTGTTGCCAGATGGATGACACATGCCAAGTACTTTCGACAATTTCAAATTGTCATCTTCAGGACGCAATTTCCCATATTTATAACATTTTCTTATTCAAGTCATTGATAGTAAGTTAATGTCTCAATAACTTCTGTTAGCGAAGTGATTTCGCAATTAATGACATAGCATTTCTATTTAATTCTTTGTCTAAATTGTTTCTTTATTATATGTATTATAAGATGCACACCCTAACACACACACACACACACACACACACACACACACACACACACACACACACACACACACACACACACATATATATATATATATATATATATATTATACAGTACATACGGAATTGCACATATACAAACATACACACAAATATTTATGCATACTGTATATGCATCGTATATATTAATTCGCATACTCACTCATACTCACACAGACTCACTAAAAATAAATCACTCTTAATAACTTATTCTCGAACTTCCTTGCTTAAAACTCAAACTCATGCTCCCCATTTTACGAAACACGGGTATAAACTGACCTATGTCTACCATTTTGGCCCTTATGCAAACCAATCTTATGTGGCCATTTCTTCCTTTCTCGCAAACCAGCTGTATGTCTACCTTTTTGGCTGTAGTGTAAACACTCCCAACTCTATATGTTTCACTTCCGTGCAAACCGGAACTATATCTTCCTAGCTATTTTTTTTTTTTTATCAAAATGACAGAATTCGGCATTAAATGGAAACATTTGATATACCGTAAAACATAAAAGTCAAATAAATATCTTCTTTCACTTATTTTCGATACATCCGGGATGACTCGGAATCGTGCATGGAAACATCTGCGCCGCTAATGTAGTTCTGTTCTGCAGAATGTCAGCACAAGTCGCGTATATATTCAAATAAAACAATTATAATATGCAGATGTTTTTTTTTCTCTTTAATATTATATTTCGCAGATATTGCGTAATAGAAAGCAGAGTTGTTTTGCTTGTGTGTCAGTTCTGTCGTCCTTACACAAATACTTGAGCCACTCCATTGCCATAAGTGTTGGTTAAAGTCTAGAGCAGTTGCCCTTGTTCGTCACCTAATGTGCATGGCTGTGTGCATAAAGTGTAATTAACTTATTTCCTATTTGTTACCATCTTACGTATTCCCAGTGTGAAAAGGTCAAAAATTTGAGTCGATCCCAGATTTAGAAAATTTACAGAATTTTTTCTTCGTTTTTGTGACAGAAAAACTCCAGTCACTGTAGGCATGTATGATAACTCGCCGGACACGCACACACACACACACACACACACACACACACACACACACACACACACATATATATATATATATATATATATATATATATATATATATATATATATATATATATATATATATATATATATATATATCCAAGTATATAATTGGTATATACGGAATGAATTCAATAACCAACAATTACTATTCTTAAAAGAGTGCTCAATACAAAGTAGAGCAGATATAATTATTTTTATGAAAAAATTATAACATAAGTATGTTATAAAATCACTACAAAAATAGCCATTTTATTTTCAACACACTCTGTGTCTTATCAAGTGATGATGCTGAAAATAAAATTTTTTTTTTTATTTTTTACATCATACTTATGTTATAATTTTTCTTATAAAAAATAATTATATATATATATATATATATATAGACACACACACACATGTATGTGTGTGTACAGGGTGCGATGACTAAATTATCGCCTAACTTAGGCAAAAATGAAAATAACACTGATATCTATTTTAACAGATAAATTTACCAAATTTACAGAAAAATACCTTGAAATACAGAAGAGCAAATTTATTCAATTTAATCGCCATTTTTTTCTACCACCGCCTCCAGACGACTTCCGAATCTCCTGCAATTCTTCTGAACGGCCTCCTTGTTTGAGTTGGTGAATGCTTCCAGAATCCTTGCCATCACTTCATCTTTAGTGTTACAAAGAGTTTGTTGGTCTCTCGCTCAAATGTAATCCATGCATAATAATCAATGGTGTTGAAGTCTGCTGTATTTGGTGGCCAGATGTAAGGGTAATGTGGCCGTTGAAATTGTCTGAAAGCCAATACTGGTTTCTCTTGCTTGTGTGACATGGTGCAAAGTTCTATTGCCAAATAGACGGTCTTCCAGCAGCCACCTTCTTGACCTAGGACAGCAGTACCTCATCAAGGCACTTGATGTAATCCTCCCTATTGAGTCTAAGACCCTATGGGAAGATAATTGAAGGTATAACGTCGCCATCGCTAGTGATCAATCCAGTCACCATGATGTTCACTGAATATATCATCCAAGTCTTTACGAATCCTCTGCACTGTCCTCAGACTGACACACAAACATTCTGAAATGTTCATATTGGATCTTCCGGCGCGAATTCCAAGGAGTACAGCATGCTGTTTCTAAATTTCTGGCGGAGTGAATTGTGTCATGGTACTCTTTTTCTCACAGACAGTGCTCAATTGACCCAACTATACTGTGCAGTCGTCAAAATAAAAATAAAAAACAACGCGCATGCGCGAAATAAAATAGAATGGCGATGTTTAGTGCTAGTAATGGTGAATTGACAAAATACTCTCAGAATCAAAACGGGAACTGCTGGATATATATATCCTAAAAAATTAAAAACTGTCAACCTCATAATTTCACATAACAACACACTTATAAAATGTAAACTAAAATGACCACTGTAGTATATCAATATAATTGTCCATTACTATTGTCTTAAACCGATAATATACATAGGACATATGAAAACAACGATCTCCCGAAGGATGGCAAATCACTTAAGTGATTTCGGTGCCATAGAAACCATCTTGAAATCCACAAACAACTGTCTGTTCCCATTAGAAAAATCCTGCTTGATAATACGCACCATCATTGGAGATAAATTTAAGTGTCGGTGCCAACTAAAAATTATAGAGCGCCTTTCTATAAAACAATATATGCCAAGCATCAACATCACTTTAGTTAACAATAGCGACAATGTGTTGGGATTCTTCTAAGAAGGCACACCAATATAGAGTCATGGCCGCATTCTCACTCACAACCAAATATTACTCCTCCTACTGCTACTACTGCTGCTGATACTGATGCTGTTGGTACTAGACAATATAGCTCAAAACAGAAACAAAATACTTTAACAAAGAACCCGCTTGAAAATCGTTAATGAATTGGCTGATAACGCTTGGAACAATAATCATTATGGGCAGTTTCAGTACACTTTTAATCCTTCCTAAAAGAAAGCTGGGAAACATTAGAAAAAAGTATCAAAATTGTCTGTGTTTGTTGCATTCAATGAAATATGTACAGTCCTATAAGATAGATAGATAGATAGATAGATAGATATGAATATATGATGAAATGACTGAGATAGATTGTTGCGATAAGGCTCTTGTTCAAAGTTATAATCGCGAATGAGACGCTATCGATTCTTTTCATAATGAAATTTATGGCAGGTGAATAAGTTCATAGCCGGACAAGTTATTGACTGAATTTTTATCTGATTTTTTCACTGTATATATGTGCATTGACAAGGGAGGAGATTATGTTAAAAAATAAATATTTGTTGCATAAAATAAATTTTTTTTTTGGGGGGGCGTCATTAGGTGACGGACATACTGGGGTAACTTTATATATATAAAAAAAAAAAAAACAGAAAAGTGTTCCTAAGTTTAGTATCACACAAAGCCACCTGAATGGAGCACTTAGTGGCTAGCTCACTTTAAACATGTAAAGTTTTTTGAAGGCGATCATAGATAGATAGATAGATAGATAGATAGATAGATAGATAGATAGATAGATAGATAGATAGATAGATAGATAAGCTAATATCAATAAACATTGATACCGAGTTAATCAACATAGACTGCGATAAATACGAAATACGAAATGAACAGATGTCGATTGCGATAAATACGTATTTAGATATATATATATATATATATATATATATATATATATATATAGAGAGAGAGAGAGAGAGAGAGAGAGTTGTTTTAGAAAATGATATCTCGATGAACATCCTTATTTTAAAGAATTTAGTAGTTAATATGAAGACAAGGATTTCCTTTTTGTAAATTTAGCCATGGCAGCGACATAGTTAACTCCATTTAGTGATCTAATTGATGAATATCGATTTCTGTTCAAATGATTCCACGCAACAAAGGACAAAAAATTATCAGCCAAGTCAATTAGTCTCAGATACAAAATTCACGTTTTGCTGTATGTTTTCTGTTTCAG